GTGAATATTCTATGATTTTGTGGCTAATCATAGATAATTATCACTTTACACACGTTTTGATCTAATGATTGTGAGAAGAAAAATATGCATTATGACAAAAATCAGACAACAATTATACAATGATAATTCTCTTTACTGATCTTCTGTACAACTCTTCAGGCAAATCCTACATCTAAACGAGCCCTTGGCTGAAGTGAGGACGTACATAATTTATTCTGTAAAACTGAGCCGTGTCCCATTTCCATACTAAATACCAGCAGGAGTGTGTGTAGTGTGTTCACACTGCAAAATCCACAACATTTAGTATATTCAAATAAGTCATTATACAGACTAAACCCACTTGATTTTTACAAGCCTGTGTCTTCGAAATTCATTTACATACCAATTAGTGAAAGCTAATACACTGTGAAATGAAATGCTGCCATTATTACATTCTTTTTAATCACCATAATGAGGAAACACTGTCACCAAAAGATCTCAAAAGATGCAAAATGCTCAGTGGAATGTATCAGCAACATGCAGACTGTCAGTCAACTGCAAGTTCATTTGTTCACCGATGTCCAGTGATAGAAAGTAACAAAGTACATTTACTAAAGTACTGTGCAATGTTGAGGTATTAATGTCACTCTATATTCCAGAGGAAAATATTGTACATATTACACCACTACTAGTTAAAGTTTAAGATTCTAAAAAACTACAATCACCTTTGATCTTTTAGATATAAAATGTCATCGCTTAATTTTATCCTTATAGACATTTGAGTTAAAATGTGTCATAATTAGTGAATGAATTTGGGAGTTATGGCCAAAAACATGTTTTATGAGGTCACAGTGTGACAGAAGTGATGAAATTCCACCTGGGCGTTCCTGATATATTTGGATTCACGTGAATGCCGTGACCTTGAACTTTGACCTTTGACGACAAAAATCTAATCAGTTCATCTTTGAGTTGTAGTGAATGTTTGTACCAAATTTGAAGGTGGTCTGTCAAGGAGTTACTGAGATATAGTGTCCACATGGGACGGGATGGAGAACCCGAAAACAATATGCAGTTGCCGGCACAGAGGAGTAAAAACATCTACATATTCTTAAGTATGATTTAGAAAGCAGGACTTTTACTTTACTTGTATTTAGGTACCTTCTCTTGTCGGACTGGTACTTCTATTCACTCATTAGTAGATATGAGGGACTTAACTCACAAATTTGAGGACTTGAGATTTGCTTGACCAACACTGATAAAAGACTCTACTATTTTTTAATCAAATATTTCCATTTTTCTAGAAGTTACATTTGTTTTTTTTGAAGCATTAGCGGGTGATTTTTATCGCGATGCCCACAAACCTGGCAACCTATTAGGACGTGGCAGACCAGCAGGGGCCAACGCACAAGGCAGCGATCATGGGGAGGGGTTAAGTCCAATAATACAAAAATTTGTATTGGAGGAAAGAGAGAGCACCTTGCAGGTTCCACACAGAGATGTATAGTAATGGTAATGGCACTCAGTAGAGTTCCTACCTCCACCAAGGACAAACAATCCTACACATTAAAGAAAGTGATAAACAAGATCCACACCAAAATGTAATGAGTTCTTCCCTCTCCACATCTACTTGGAACCTGCTTGAGACTTGAAGGTTAAAACTTGTGACTTGCTTTGACTTGACTTGACTTCCTTGACTCTTACCATGGTAACTCTGGGACCTGCACTTGTGACTTCCTCCCACCTCTGCTCATTACTTCTACCACCGTCTATCTCTGATTGTAGCGACTAAAAACATGAGTAAAGTTTTCATGGTTGTGCTTAGGCAATTGGAACATGGTAAATGTTAGGAAAGGATGGTGGATACTTCAGAAACATTTTATACTGTGTGACCGTTGATTTGCTGTAATCGTTGAAAGGAGGTGGTATTAGTGGGTGGACATTTAGTTGGAATTGTCTTGTCAAACCAACTTTTCATATAAAATAAAAGTCTATAGTCCTATAATAAAAATCTTAAGAAAATCTTTTTTGCTGTCTTACTGTGAAGTTTAGTTGGCAGTGGCATTCATAAATTCAATTAAAAATACAACTGTATTGTATTATTCTTATTATTATTAACATTTTTGAGAATCACAAATTCATTTTCACAACACTGTGCATTGTGTTTTTCATTTCGCACATGACTTTTTCTCATACAATTACAACTTAATCTAACTTTTATTTTTACTTAGATGAAATCTAACTTAAAAATATAATGACTTTATTCTTTATTGACATTTTTTATAAAAAAAAAATAGAATTACAATTTGACTGTTATAACATTGTGAGTTTTCTTCTCATAAAATTTCAACTTATTTAAAATATTTTCACTTTTATGAAATTCAATGACTTAATTTTAATTTAAAATAATGACTTTATTCTTTGTTGTGACATTTTCTTTTGTACATGACTTTTTCTTAGAATTAAAATTTGACTTGTGAGTATTTTCTCAAAATATTACAACTTCAGTCTTGAAATTTTACTTTTCCTACATGACTTTTACTTTGTAAAATTATGATTTTATTCTTGTAACATTTTTAACTTGTAAGATTCGAATTTTTCCCTTGAAATTCTTACTTCACTTTCATGACATTATGAGTTCTTCCCACTGCTAATCCTTGTCCACTGTCACACAGATCAAGTCTTAAATCTTTAGAAAACCTTTTTTGCTGTCTTATTGTGAAGTGCAGTTGGCAGTGGCATTCATAAGTTTCCTGTTAGTACAAAACAATAAAGCACATTGATTTCTAAAAAAAAAAAAACAGCACACTGTGATTAGCATTCAGTCCGTACTGCAGGCTGTCAGGAAACAGAATGGAACTGGGACACAGCTCTAGTTCTCACAAGGATAAAAGGGCAAGAACACATCCAAACACACACATGAGACATGATCATGATGCACTGTGCTGCAGGGACGACCCAGTTTGTACAGAACTCAATGAATGAATGGCTTTTTTTTTGCTGCTGCCCCCTCAGTGGATGTAGGAGCTGGATTGATGTTCAGAGTAAACAGACTTCACCCAGCGGGCGGCTGGTGTGGAAGCAGAGTTGTGCTTGTTGATGCAGATTGTGATGAAATGAGGAATATTTACTATCACTTTGTCATAACCCTTCATTACAGACAGTTGTTCAAAAATAACATATAGAAAGATATTTCATTTTAAAGCATTCTCTTTCCGTCGACAAGCTCAGGCATAGCTCAGTCACATAAAACACTTCTTTGTCATAAAACTTTTTTAAAAATCCATTCACACATCTTATGAGCCATAAAATATTACAAATACATATTCTGCCTCAGCTATTATACAACAGAGAGCTGGGGTGAAGCTTCAGTACAAGAGTTAGATATGACTTCCTACGTGTTAAAAACAACATTACTGGGCTTGTGGTGAGCTGTGAGTTTTCTGTATGAGCACTTCCAAAACTATCTTTGGCAGTTTGCATTCTCTTTCAAAAGTGCAACAGATCCTTAATAAACCCCCCTTCCTCTCCCCCCTCCCTTCATTCAGACTGCTGAGCCCAAAAAGCCTTTATCACATACCAGTCAAAAGGTTTAGAACAAACCATTTTTCCAGTTCTCACTGAAATTTGAAATAAATTCAGTTCAACAAAAAGGTCCCATGATTCCTTCTTTTTAAACTCTCCAGTTGTATATTTGCTCATAAAAACTGAGACATTGAATTATGTCTATTCAAATAACAGCTGGAACTAGAATCACCTCCTGGAGGTCGTCTGCCTCCTCCACTCAGACTAGTTTCAGGTTTTATCCCTTTTTATACAGAATCATATAAAATATGAACCATTTGACATTTTGTCATAATTGCTGCGTGAAGTCTTGAGTTATGGCTAAAAAGTGTTTTGTGAGGTCACACTGACCTTGACCTTTGACCACTTAAATCTAATCCCTGAGCCAAATTTGAAGGGATTCCCTTGAAGAGTTCTCATGATACTGTGTTCACAAGGCCAAAAACATGTTTTGTGAGGTCACCATGACCTTGACCTTTGACCTTTAACCACCAAAATCTAAGCAATTTGTCCTGGAGTCCAAGTGAATATTTTTTACCAAATTTGAAGACGTTCTGTCTGAGATATCATGTCCACAAGAATGAGATGGATGGATGGATGGATGGACAACCCAAAAAACAACACACCTCTGGCTCTGGCTGGCGGAGGTATAAAAATGGAGGTGTTCTAGAACTTTTGACCAGTAGTGTAAATATATATATTTCCTGCTTTAGCTCCACTAACTAAACTTTTTTATCATCAGCCTGAAGCCGTTTCACTTTTAAATTCTTCATCTGGGTTAAATGGCTATTCAACTGTGCATACATACATCCATAGCATATATCTCTAACTACAATCAGAGTGAGCTGTACAGTCACATCGTCTCACAAAGTCAACTCGTTCTGCTTCGCACAGCAATAAAGCACAAACTTCTACAGTGTCTATAGAACAGGAGCAGATCTGCAGTGGAGTTATCGGAGCCACTGTTTGGAGATTTGAAAAATAAAATTGTAATATTCTGATAAACAGAGGTAAAGTCATGAGAGGAAGTTTGAGAAAAAGTTGCACAAATAAAATCACAAGGAAATAAAAGTAATTTCAGAGTGAAGTTGCTAGTTTACAAGGTAAGTAAAAGTTGTCATTTCAATTAACAATATAATGATATTGTTATAATATTATCATTATTAACATTTTCTCAGAATTACAAATTCATTTTCACTACACTGTGCATTGTTATTATCATTATTATTATTTTTATTATTATTATTTCACAAAATAAAATGAATTTATCCTCAAAATATTATGACTTTTTCTCATAAAATTACAACTTAATAAAAATTTTATTTTTACTTTAATGACATTTAATGACTTAACTTTAATTTAAAATAATGACTTTATTCTTTATCATGACATTTTTTCTTAGAATTACAATTCAACTTGTGAGTTCTTTCTCAAAATATTTCAACTTTAGTCTTGAGATTCTACTTTTTCTATCAAGACTTTTACTTTGTAAAATGATGACTTTATTCTTGTAACATTTTTACCTGTAAGATTTGAATTTTTCCCTTGAAATTCTTACTTCACGTTCATGGCATCAGGACTTTTCCCTCTGCTGCTCCTCGTCACACAGATCACACACTTCAAGCCACATCAAAAGCTAAAAAAAGCAAAACCTCATGAAAAGCTGTAGTACTTTGAAATATACATCAGAGATGAGTGGCAGTTGAGCTATATGTGTGTGGTGTGTTCTCTTTTTTATTTTTACGTGTGTATTAGTGTGTGTGTGTGTGTGTGTGTGTGTGTGTGAGAGAGTGTGTGTGTGAGAGTGTGTGTTCAGTGGTCGAGGTTCAGCAGCAGGCTGGGCAGTGTCTTCAGGTCCATCTGTGGCAGCAGCCAGAAACAGTAGAGCAGCAGCCAGAGCAGCAGCAGCAGATAGAGCTCCCAGCTCTCACTCCTCCTACACACACACACACACATACACACACACACACACAGAGGGAGAAAAAGTTCAGAGGAGACACAAAAATAACACAAGCTTATCGACACAAGTAGCTTCTTGTCATTAGTCATAGAGGACAAAAACGTCTCATTTGGATTAGTTAATATTAATATTAGTATTAGTACCGTGTCCTTGGCTGTCTGCTGTTCACCACTGACTCAGTCACATCAGTTTGACAAAGCTTCTCAGTTCTACAAAAAATAACCTCTGCTGTCCCACAATCCACTGCAAACCCATCACCCGTTCAAATTGAAACTAGGCTTCAATGAGTAAGACTGAATGAACTCAACCCCTCTAGAGTACGCGACTAAATGAGATGTGGTGTGTTCCAAAGGCCTTCAAGTGCACAGTGACCGTATTCCTACAAGCTGATAATATTTATCTTAAATGTTTATACTGCAAGTTTTAGTTTTTCCATTAAATAATGTGTTTAATGCTCTATCTCAGAATATACTGGTGACCAGTTGGAGCACTGGAGCATGAAGCCAGGATTTAAACTAGAATCACCACCTGGTGGTTGTCTGCCACCTCAACTCAGACTAGTTTCAGGTTACATCCTGTTTATCCAGAGTCATAGAAAATATCAACCATTTGTGTGAAGTTTTGTCATAATAACTGTGTGAAGACTTGAGCAATGGCTTAAAAGTGGTTTTTCCAGGGGTCACACTGACCTTGACCTTTGACCTTTGACCACAAAGGAAATCTAATCAGATCATCCTTGAGTCCAAGTGAATGTTTGTGCCACATTTGAAGAAGTTCTTTCAAGGCGTTACTGAGATATTGTTACTGAGATACCGTGTCCACGAGAAAAGCGACGGATGTATCACTTCATACAAAGGACTGGGAACTGAATCATGTGACCACGTTCTTACCAAAAGTCACCATTGTCATCTTTCCTGGTCGCCACGGTCTCAGCTCTCCGTTTGTCCTGTGAGTGGAGAAAACACCGGACACACACTCTTAGTGAACTGCGACGGTACAGATGATTTATCCAGGCGCAGCGAGATCTCCGCGGAGAAGGAAATGGAGTGTCAAACTAACCACAGCCTCAGTGAGATGAGCCCCCTTTCTGTGACGGAGAACTGGAGGGATGTGACTTTCATCTGGTCCGCTGGAACTTTTGGTGACACTCCTGAAAGGACAAAATCCATTAGTTCTGGCCTCATCAGCAGAGAGCAGACCCAGGCAACGCAGCGGGGAAAGCCGTTATGAGTATTTACACATCTGCAGATCATAATAATACAGGTATGAAAACAAACGGTCCCTGTTTACTTCACCACCACAACAAGAACTCATTCTTCCTGTTGGAGTTTCATCTCTATTCATCTTGTTTTTTTTAATCGTAAAACTCCACAACAAGTTGAAAGTAACACACGTTTGACATGTGGCCTTAGTAAGTTGATATATCGGTCTCTTTAGCTGCTAAATGCTCCGCTGTGTTCACCAGCTGGTCGCCAACTGTGTCTGCTGTTTGATGCTGAGCAGGAAGTGGATGACTGGACTTATCGGAGCTTTCAGAGCACCTGGTTGATTTGACAACACCCGTGGTTACTGGTGGATTTAATAATACGGATCCCATAGCTTCATACAAAAATAACACCCGGGCAACAAACACAATCTGACCAGCAACACGTCACACTGCTGGACCAGAGAAGACGTATATTTCTGAACGAATGAGATTCTCCTGAGGAATTAGGATTTTCTAAGTGTCAATCAATATTTCTAAAATCAACGGCTGGCGGTAACAAAGTACATTTACTTGAGTACTGTACTTTTACTTTTATTTTAGAAACTTCAGACTTTTACTCCACTACACTTAAAAGACAAATATTGTACCTTTGACTCCACTACATTTCTATGAAGCATCTTACTTGGAAGCAGAGCTTTTAGTAGGTGGACTGAATTTCATTTTGAAAATGTGATCGACCATACACTGTGTTGATCCCAGGAGAAAAACCAATCACAGCCAACTCCTCCCCTGTCAGTCATGACAACCTGTCAGTGTCCTAACCATGGCGACGTTAGATAAAGATGAGGCAGAAGATTCTTCACCAGAGACCATGGTCTGATCTGAAGTCTGTGTTTGAAGGTTTAGAAATAAAGAAAGATTCATTTAGTCTGAAATGTTTGCTGTGTTTTTTGCGATCACATTTTTCATTAAAGAAACTTTTTTTTTAAAGTATATTTTTTTTGGGCTTTTTATGCCTTTATTGATAGTGCAGTAGAGAGAGACAGGAAATGGGGAGGCAGAGAGAGAGGGGGAATGACATGCAGCTAAGGGCTGTCCGATGCGGGACTCGAACCGGGGCCGACTGCAGCGAGGACTGTAGTCTCTACACATGGGGCGCCTGCTTAGACCACTACACCACACGACGCCCTGACTACAGCTCCTTTTGTTGATTAAATTGTGTGTTTATGTCCATGTCTGCAGTCATTGTATCATATTCTACAGGATTCTACACGTTCTACAGTCAGTCAGTCAGTCAGTCAGTCAGTCAGTCAGTCAGTAGGGTTGTGTCAAGTCATTAGGTTCTGTAAATGTGGAACAAAACAACAATGAGTTGACATATAAAACTTTACTTTTGAATACTTCAGTATTTTTATGATCAAGTACTCCTGCACTAAAATTTGTCTGAACAACTGTCACTTGTATTGGAGTGATATTTGACCAGGAGGATCTGTACTGTGACTCAAGTAAAGGAGCCGTGACCTCTGCTCACCTCTGTCTAAAATACAGACACTGCTGTAAAAGTGAGACCGTGGTAAAAATAAGGAATAAATTGGAGCAAAAACAAAGAACAACTGTAACTGGAAACTAACTGGTAGTAAACAGTTATAACAGTTGTATTACACACCAGAACTGGCCAGACACATAAGTAAAACCAAGTGCCTGTTCAGGGTCCCTGTGGCCACCAGAGGGCCCCCAAGAGCACCTGAAATGTCCCACAAGAGAGCCAGGCAGCCCTTTACGCTCACGTTGGATGGTCCTCTCGCTCTGAGAGGGGAGATTTGCGTTCATATTTGTTTATTTACAAAACCCTTATTGAAAAACTGCCTTTATATCTTTCATTCATGTTAGTTTGGCCATCTGGACCACATTAGACCAGGACTAATGACCGGCTCACGCTCCATTTTCCCTTGAGTTCATACTGAGCTTGGAAGATCTGCTTTAGACTTCTTTGCACTGTCTCCCTAAACCCACTACAAAAAACCTTATGAATTTTTTGATTCTCTCTTGGTCATTTTAGATTCTTAATCTCTGACCTTTTCACTTCTGTTTGTACCTGTTTCAACTGTTCCTTGTATTGATATGCTTGTTTTCATTGATGTTCTTTTTTAACTGGTATTTTTATTTATTGTAAATGAAGCTTTACCCTCAATGATTTTTGAGTTTAAACAAAGACATATAACTACACAAGCTGTGTCAGCCCCCCAAAAGTGGATGAAGGGAAACTATCCTTCTGGTCATGAAAAGAGGAACATGGAGGTCAGGACACATAAAACAACCTCCTCCTTGGCAACAATCCTTAGTAACTCATTTGCTGATGAGGACTGTGAAAATGATCTTGTATGAAAAGACTGATATCTGCCCTTGATTGAAATATTCTCTGATGTTGATCAATGCGTCGTCCTGACATTTTCACTTTACAACTCTAGAAGTTCATTTACATACTGGCTTGGCTCATCTGATCTCTGATTAACAAGAAGTCATTATAATTAGAAAACAAGCTTTGTTATCTTGAGATAATGGGATAGTTATCTTGTTATCTCAGGATAACAAAAAATCATTTTCTCCTAATAACATCTCGTTATCTCGGGATAATGAATTTGTTAACTTGAGATAACGGGATAAAAAAATATTTGCAAATATGACTCTTCCCGGCTTTTGTACAAAGCATTCAAAAATGTCGTGCTACATAAAATGGTATCATGAAGGTTTGTTTTTTTCATGAACCCATCAAGTAAAGTCATCTGGTATTGTCTTCACAATGTATCCATCATTTCCTCTGAATCCCACGTGGAAACAGACTCGACAATGAAAACTGATTCATGAAGAGGAAATAACAGAACATGTGAGCAGCTTAAAAATACAAAGCATAAAAAGCATCAAAAGTGGGTTTGATATATGAAAGTTTTAAGGATTATCATTTTAATTCCACTGTTGAACATGAACAGAATCAAGCTCTCTGGCATTAATTAATCCAACGACATTGATTTCTGTAATCCTCGTCCTTTTCTTTAAGCCACGGTCTTTCAACCCCTAATAAGGCCCGTCCTCATCTCCATCACCAACCTACAGAGACTTTGTTCAGTACTTTTAAGGAAATATGGGAGCAAACAGAGAAGCCGGGTCAGAGCAGTCCCATGCATTGCCATAACACTGGTTTCCCCCTGGGTAATGTGTGTTTCTCAGTGTACCAGGGAGCTGGCTAAGAATAGAAAACCTACCTCACAGGCTCTGTGTTTTCCCTGGCAGAGCCCGGGCCCTGTTGTTCAGCCTCACTCATACTGCTGCCATCTGCTGGATCATCATCACCCCAGAGTCCTCCTGTCTTCTCCCCGGGAAACAAGTTCTGCTCCTGGGATTCAGATGCTTTACCAGTCTCCTCGTTGGTCTTAGTGATCGCCTAACAAGAGCAGGAAACGACGAGAGAGAAACCTTTTAGCTTTTTAGAGGGAAAACAGATTTAAAGTTGTAATGTTCTGATGGACCTTTTCTCTAGTGCCACCTTCAGGCCAACACGTGACAGTGTTTACACCGAAAACTTTAATTTTAATGGGCAAATTGCCATGAATGTTACAGAGCAGATTCATGCTCCTTGGAGAATAAACCCTTTCCATTTTGATCACTCTATGAGCTTTCTTGTTTCAACGCCACCCTCAGGCATAAATGTCAGTGAAATAGATTACCACAGAATTTTAAAGATCTCATTCGTACTTCCAGAGGATTAACCCTTTTTCTTCAAATGACCTCTTAACCTTTCCTCCAGCATCAGCCTCATAAGAAGAGCAAAATCAACTCTTTGTCATATTGTCACTGAATCAAACACGTTTATATCCTGAGGTGAAATAAACGTTTGGAGGGATTTCGATGCTTTAAAATCTACATAACATGTAGTTAAAGTTGTCACCCAGTATTCACTGATGGTTTACCCCTGACTCTTGTTCTCGTTCTTCAAATAAATGATTCATGATAACAGAACAACAGCCCGAGCTCATCACACTGACCCATCAGTGGAACAGAATGATGTGCCTGTGCTTAATGAATATCAGCGGGTCATCTGGTTGTTAGGTGTGATATTGTGGAGGTGTGAAGTGTCACATTGCTTCATGTTCCTGTTTGGGCAGTTGGACCATCACACACACACAGGCAGTGTGAAGGCAGTGTTTTCTATGATGCCGCTCACTTTACAGTGATAGAAAAATTACCCTGAAAATGAAAGGTCCCATCTTTTCCTCTTCTCCTGTGTTTTATTTGAAGTGTTGATCCATAAGAATATATATTTGTGGTTTTAAGATCCAAAAAACATCTCAATGTAGTTTTACATCTCCTCTCTCAGGTTTCTCTATGGAGCTCTAGTAACAACAGGTCTGTGAGCCAATCAGAAGATTGGAGGCTCTGAGACTCTCTTCTGATTGCCTGACTGCTTTCTGAGTGATCCAATAAAAAATATAGCAGATTTTGATGGATTGATGGATTGATTGATTGATTGATTGATTGATTGATTGATTGATTGATTGATACTTTCACAGTATTAATTTAGAACCTAGACATGCTTTATAAATCAACAAACACATGGACATCTGCCTTCATGCAATACGGTACCAAGACCTTTGTTGGTTTAGCTTCATTCAGTAGAATAACTGCCTAATTTCTGCATTTTGAACTGGAGAATGTTCCTCTGTTTTCTCTGTTTCATGTTGTAAATTGACTCAATTTGTGGTTTGGATTTAAGTGTGTTACCATACAAACATTTGCAAACTAGCATTAAACACAAAGTACAGCGGGGTATGCAGCCCCCAATTTAACTTGACACAAGATTAGAAATTCAGGGGCTCCACGCCTGGTCACAATGTGATTAGTTTTGTACATATTTGGTCAGAGACCAAAGTATCAGTGCTAGATGGAAAGTCAAGGGATCATCAAAGGTAGTTAAATTCATCCAAATCTCATGGGAATCAGTCCAAAAGTTATCGAGATATTTCACCCAAACCCACATATGTTACCTTCATAGTGGCAACAGGGAAAAGGTTTTTAGCGTTCTCTCCTCTGAGGATCAAAATGTCATCCCCACCAATTCAATATATTTCAGTCTGGAGCAAATTGATGGACTGTCCAACTGACCAGCCGATATTTCCATGTCTAGAGCCATGCAAATAGCTTAGCCAATGAAAACTCATCAAACGAAGTCCAGAAAATACAATGAAAAAAAACTGAAACACTTAATTTGCTTAAACATGAAGCTAATGTGACACTGAAAAGGTTGGGGTGTACAAAGGCACTGCTGAATAAACTTGCATTTACCTTGTCATCCTCTTGTATCAAATGCACTCCATTCCTGAAGTCTTCACCCGGCAGGTTGAGTGGTTGGTCATCTGGTAGACTCTCTGAAGCTGGCGCTGGCTGGAGAGCTGATACGCTCAAAACAGAAGGCCAACTCTGCATTTCAGTATCAGGTAGCTCTGTTAACATGGGGTCCTCTTTGTCTGGGTAGAACAGATCCATGGGTTCAATAGGGTCACCATCAAGATCATCTGTGGGAGAACGTCGATCAAAGTCTGCATAAAAGAAGTCCATGTTTCTGGGCGCATTAGCTAGTTCATGACATGAAATCCCCATCTTACCATTCAGTTCTGAGTTGACTGGATCCAATGTGCTCTGCTGTGTGTTGGTTTTCTCACTGTCGCCCAGTTTGTCCTGCTCAGTATTCACAGGTTGCAATTTATCATCTGTAGGAGTCTGAACAATGAAGTCCTCATCAATGTTATCTGTCTGAGAGTTGTTCAGCTGTTCAGTCATTTCCATGTTATCTACTGTGCATGGATCACATGTTTTTATATCTGACGACTTCCTGACATTGTGTTCATCTATGTCATCCAAATGCCCATTTTCTAAGTCCGTTATTTGCTCTGAAGCTATTGAATTATCATCTTCTGATATCAAGATGGAAGGAATCTCAGCAGGTCTTTTGTCATCAATGAAATTGGAGTCACACCTCCGTTCATCTGGATTTTGGGGGCTGTTGACATTTGTGTCAGATCCATTAAATCCAGTTACCTCTGGCTGGTCTACCTCTTCATCCCCAGCATGAGCTTGTCTTTCTGGGTCACATGCTCCCTCTTCGTTCTGCTCTTCTGGCTCACTGGAGATGGAGATCAGAGGAATGCTTGGTGCTCCCTGTTGGTTGGCTGGATGCGTAATGCTTTCTTGAGGATCTGGGTAGTCTCTTAGAACTCCTTCATTTGTTTCATCTACCACACCTTCATCCCTTTCCTTAACAGTCCATGATTCATCTCTAGGGTCCTCTCTTTTCTCCTCTACAGAAGAACCTGTTTTCAGACACTGAGTTTCCACTTCAGCCTCCTCAGAATTATTTCTTTTAATCAAACTTTCTGTTTGACCGTTATTTTGTCCTTTGTGGTCCTGTGCATCCACAGTTTCCTTTACACAGTCAGAAGTGCTCTCTTCAACACCAGTTTGCTTCACAGGTTCTTCAAAATGGTCAGGGAGTGGTAGTTTAGTGTTGGAGCTTAGGGACTCGTTAGTTTCATCAGTTTCAAGGAGATCATTAGCACCAGAGTCGGGCAGGACTTGTGCATCAAAATAAGGTTCTTGCTCTCTGGGTACTTGATCTTTTTGAAGCAGACTTTTATCCATCTGTTTAGAGTCTACTTTTTTTGCGATTTCAGCATTGCTCTGATCCAGTGTCATGTCCTGGTTGTTGCTTTTGAGGTTTGCCTCGAGTATTTCCTCTTGTTTTTTCTCAGAATGCCCTTGGGTTTGTTCCTGTGTTCTCTCCAGTGAGTTCAGTGAGTAAATCCCTTCATCGTTATATGACTCAGTAATTGACTGCTCATCAGATGCTCTATCCTCAATGGATGGGACAAATCCTTCATCAAGAGTAGTAACCTCCACTGGGGTGGCACGGTACACATCCCAGGCTGTTCCACTGTCACACAAAGAACTGTCGCTTGGGCTCTCAGAAAACTTCTCTGGCATCACCCCAAATTCGCTTTCCACCCAAGAGTCCGGTGAGCTGATCGCTGAGTCGCCAATTACTGACTCAGTGTTTCCACACTCAGGCACTGAAGAGTCAGTGGGTGAATGAGTGTGAGACAGTTGTGGGGAGTTAGAGATTAAGTTGGTTAAGACCTCATTGACAGGTTCCTTGGAGTCTTCAACCACACTGCTGGAGGTGTCTCCCATGTGGGGGGAATCTGCAAGAAAGTCTTCAATGGACCAGGAGCGAGCTGCAGCCTGCCTAAACGGGGGTGACGTGGCACTCCTGTCCTCAGACACAGAGGAAATTAAGATTTTGGGTGCGGGTTTGGTAGAGTCCCCCTGGAACATGAATGACCGCTCCTTCACTCTGCTTCCGTGAGCGCCATTCCTAATGCGGTCGGAGTCAATCTCACGGAAGTTGAGTCGACCCATAGAGATGCTTCGTTCTATCAGCTGGCAGGACTCCTCCGGCTGGGTTAGAAACAAGGAAGTTGGCAGAAATCAATCAGTGCTCACACGTCTTGTCAAAATCTGATGTCAGACACCAATCACCCATGAACTGTAAGCCAGAACTCTTACCTCCTCTATACCAGGGAAGTGCTCCAAGAACTGTGACACATATGTCATGATGGATTGTTCATCTGGTGGGTTGATAGTCACATCTGGGAAAATAAAGAACAATCATCATACTGGCATTTTACATAAAAGTCTCCATGTCAATAAAGCTTTCTCCTAAGAGTAATAAGACCTGTTCAGACTTGCACTTTATTACGCAAATGTGCTGGAAATTTGACATGTAGGTCTCATGTCTGAGTAAAACCAGGAGTCCCTCTTCTGTAAAAGTCATGACAGTAATCTCACTGGGTTAGACCTGTTTCATTTCTGTAACACTTCTAATACTGCACAAGTCTGATCTTAATTCTGTCACATTAACAGAAAGAGTACATCAGCACAGAGAAAGATATCAAATGCACATCCTGCTTTACCTTTTTCCACGGAAGTTGTCTAATGTCAGAGAAGCCAACATAAAAATGGGTTTTGCTTAATTTTTTTCCCCTCATAGTGAAAGACTATAGGAAAGAGAAACATCTGGAAACTACATTTATCATCAGACACTCTCCTTTTAAAAAAAATCATGGTTTAATGCGGAAAGTAACCAGATTAGGTTAATATTTAAAAAGATTTATTTTCTTGTTACCCTCAGGCTCCAGGAGGCGTGGGATACCAAGGCTGTAGTGGGCTATCCTGAAGGCATCCTCCAGATTCTCCCTGGCACTCCTCAGCAGGGCCTTCCTCATGTCTACCAGGCTCGAGTCAATGGACTTGATGACAGCCAGGAAGGCCAGTCCACTTGTCCAGCTCTTCCCAAAGTCCTGAACTGCTACACCATACCTATAATGAGACATACAATTTTCAAAGGAACTATTTCTTTACTGTCCAGAGTAAGAATGGCACTGTCTCTGGTAAGTCTAAATTCCATTCACCTCCAGTGCTGAGACAGATATCTCAAATTGAATCTAACTATCTAAATGAATAGATACCACTAGGGATGTGACAGTGATTCTAATCTCATACACTTTTTGTCAGTTTCAGTGAATATGTCCTCATAGTTCACTAGCTGTCTGTGTGTGTGCTGAAAGAAGAACCTATATTCCTACACAGTCCTGCCTCTTTAAATGGGAAATAAACAAAGCGGCTTGGACCGAGACACACAACACTATTCCATATGGAGTGTTGAATGGGATTGCTTGGGACTGCTAATGAGAGACCGACGACATATCAAGAAGGAGATTTGGCCAAAAAACTGCCAAAGACGAGAAGGTCAGAAGAACAAAAACTGAAAAAGAAGTGCTACAATCAAGTTAACATCGGAGAGGCTTTACAGTGTCGGAGACTGGGAAAGAAATTCAGCCCTGGACTTATCTGCTGGGAACAGCCCACCCCCCGAATGACAAGCACACAGACAGGGCAGGCAGAGACTGACTGGGTCAGTAAGAACTATTAAAAATTTTGATGGATATTTTGATGATCCACTGGCTCACTGGGATTTTTCCTGACAGCCAGTTCGGCTATGGTGAAGAAATGTTTAAGACTTGAAAGGTATGAAGAAGGATACGGAGGTTGCTCTGTTCCTGCTCGACAGGTGGGTAACGTTAGCTTTGCCAATAGGTCAGTAGCCTATTGTTTTGTCCTGTTAGTTAAAGTTTGTGATAGCTAACCCCAACTGGTTAGTTAGTTAGCAAGCAGGTGGGGAAACTCTGGGAAACTGTCTAATCCTCTCTGCATGTTAGCTTAGCAGCATCGGATGTAGTCACAGTTTGTCATCTTGTCGTTTGCTCTGTATCGTGTGGTATTTGTCTGTAGAACATGCAAAAGGTTTTATAGCCACCAAAATCTAAAAACACAAGTTTGTTAGCACAGTGAATTTATTTGGTCTAATTATTAATTTGAAAATGCTATGCCTGGTAACTTTACCTCCTTGTTAGTTTAGCTACAAACCTATGGTCCTCTCTTCTGTCAGTGTAGTTTTGGAAACACAATCTAAACAACTGACTCTCTCCAGTTATAAGGTTTGTTTAGCTTCAGCCATGAGACAGTATCCACTTCCTTGCCGTATAAGATGCTCTGGATTCAGCCACCGTCATTGCCTGGGCAATGTGTGGCCGTGATTCTGAGGGGGTGGAGCTTCTGAAGGTGCACTGAAGGGACTAGTGTATTTGTTTTGCTATTGAGTTCAAATATCCACAATCTTTCTCCAGAGTTGATTACTCCACCTTTAAAATTAATTTGAGGGGCAAAACAAGGTCACCTTGATGAAGCATTGTGGAGTCTAAAAAAGACAGTGATACAACAACCCAAATATATAGGTCTATACCCCCACACACTGCCAGAAGCAGATAGTGAAACTGCTCTGCAGAAAGCATAAAGGTAAATAAGGCTACCGTAAGATCACAATGCCACATCAGAAGGTTTAAATAATTAATGAAGTTGTTGTTGCTGTGCCAAGTGAGTCAGCATCTCCCTATTTAATATACAGTATATTCAGTAGAACAAAAACTGAAAACTAAGAGATTGTCACATTTGTTCAGACTTCTAAGATTTAATCAAACAATTTTAACTGAAAATGACAGACCACACTCACTTGCGTGTTCGTTTCTGTACCCACTGCAGCAGCTTCTTAATGGCCTTGCCGTGTTCTCTCATGGCTGTGGACGCCGACTGTCTCTCGTCTGACGGCGTGCTGCAGTGGGACGCGTCAGAGTCGGAGCTGGTGGGGATGGACGACAGGCTGGAGCAGGACGGGAACTGGCTCCTGATGTTCCCGGTCAGCTCCTTAATCTGGAGAGAGACAGAAAGTTGGATTACTGGTTCACCTGAGCAAACATTTTGCTGAATATTAATTATAAAAATCATCTCTCAAAAACTTTTGAAGGTATTAACCAGAATCTGCTCTGGTCCACAGCTCTGAGAAAAGACAACAGACAGGTAAAAGGCTCAGTCACCAAGATTTATTACATCATGCTTACCACTGCATCCATGACACATGATGCAAACATTTCAACAGACTCAAAGCTCTGAAAACACTCAGAGTCTGTCCAGTGCTGAATCTCTTCTGAAACCTTAGAGATGAAATTAAAGGAGAGCTTCATCTTTTTTTTTTTTTACACGTAAAGATCAGTTTACTCGTCATGGTCAGTTCTGCTCAGCCTGTGAAAAGTAGGCTGAAAGCAGGATCCTTTATGAGACAGAATGCTGTTCTGAGATCAGATGTAAGGACAGATATCACTTCCACTTCAGTATTGTTCTAATTGTTGTGTATTTTTAGCTTTAGCTGGTCAAACACCGCTTGCCTTGCTTGTCCTGGCGGGACGTCACTGGTCCCTGACATAGTTCAACCTCGATTTCATATTTCCCATTATGCTACTAATGTTGTTAGAACCAGCCTCAAAACCTACATCTGCTCTGTGTGTGTGTGTGTGTGTGTGTGTGTGTGTGTGTGTGTATTATACCATGTTGATTGTTTCCTCCATGCCATTGGCTGGAGCTGCTAGCCCCACCCTCTTTGAATGTAAGGGCTGGCCCATGCAGACCCTGCGGTCATATGGGTGTTGCATTTGTTCAGGTTCCTGGTGGAACTGAGGCACCTGCCTGTCACATGACTGTTGCCTTGCTGTGGACATGAGATCGACCACTACAGATGGATGAATTCTTTTCCTTTACCTTCTGTTATAAAGAAAGAAGCATCACAGGAAGAACAGAAGAAGCCATTTTCCCCCTTAAATCACAGGAAAAGTGTTTGCTCCCAGTAAAATTATAAATGATGTCAGGACTCACTTGGTGTGTAAAGACACAGATGTTGTGTGTTAACATGCACAAGGTCTTGTAGTCAAGTTTGACACCTTCAGGGGTTATTTTCTCAGACTGTAGAGAGCTTGTTCAGAGCCAGAGTAGACAATCTGCTCCCCATTTACACTGGCTCGCACATGCCCAGTGTGGTTGGTCATGTATGTATGTGGTTTCAGGTGTGTTAGTATGGACAGAGATTGTTTCTGATATGGAGCTAAAATGTCGTCTGGATGGAGATCTTTTTTTTTTTTTTTTTTTAAAAACTCCTTTTGCTCCATCACTCCTTTTGCAAGGAAAGCTTTCACAGACACATTTATTCAACTGACATATTTACAGTGTAGGATAATAATAAGCATTTTTAGCTTTTAGCTTTTTAGTTTTCATATTAATATCTTTAACCAAGGTATTCTCTCTGCAAGACCTGCAGTAAGTTTGCCAAGTGTGAGACATAATGAGAGAGGAAAATACAGGATTCTGTAGTTGGCTGTTGGCTCTGTAAAAACTCAGTACATCTTTCTGATGATAACCATTCATCCCAGCTGAGAGCTGGCAGTGTTCTCAGCTTCAGACAGCGGACTGAGAGGACAGTGTTTCCTCATGCTGTCTGTCCAAGGCAGTGAACCACAGTGTGGGTTACATAAACTACCCAGCGAGCTGCACTTTGACGGGCCTTTATGAATGGAAAGTGCACAGGCCGTGAAGCAGACACTTTATTCTTACACTTGACCTCGTTCTAAGTGAAAAGAGAGGCAGAGGAAAGGGAGGGAAGGTGGAAACTCAGAGCGCAGAGGAGAGGGGGTGAAGGGGTTTTAAAGTAAGAGGATGTGGCAGAGGAAATGAGATTTACCTGGAAGAAGAGAATGATGTTCCAGATGAGACCCAGGATGATGGAGGAGTTTCCATCGGCAACATCAGCCGCATCGATACTGACCAGCTTCACCTGAGGACACACGCAATGCACATGTGAGAACAGTGCAGCCAATCATCGAGCAGCGCAGCAGCTGAGTGACTTTGTTACTCACGTTTCTCTCCTCCAGGAAGGATAGGACCTTGGCGATGTTGTTGAGTCTGAAAATACGATGGGAGGACTTCTTGAATCCATGAAGCTGGAAGATGATGTAGAATGAGAAACTTATAATTAAATGAGATAAATACTGCTACTGTCAATATTGTCATGAGAGCTGCAGTTGTGTGGAAACAAAGTGCAAAGAGTCTGACCAGCTTGCAGCCAGAGAGCTCCTCCAGCAGGGCCATGAGGATGCGTCCATCCTGGATGTCCCGGAAAAGGTCCTGGACCTCGATGGGTGGGTCACACTGAGGATGAAGAGAAAGAAAGAGGGAAGCATGAGTGGAGAGGAGAGAGGTAAGAATATAAAACAGGATACCAGATGTATTGTCTAAGTCTTCAGATGTTTATTGAATATTAAAAGATGTGAGTGTAAATGCAGCCAAGAAGCATCAGAGACGGACTCAAGTCCAACTGCATAAAAGCCAGATGTTAATAAACTAATCCCTGATCAGTTTGAATGGTTTGTGTGGGTAAGAGAGCTCGTAGCTTCTAAACACGACACATCCATGTGTTTCAGATAAACCGTCTTTGTTATAACTGAACTGCCAAAGTTCACAAGTCTTTTTCATCTGGTGTTTTTTTTTTTTTTTTTTTTAAAAGGAAACCAAACAGCTTCAGGGGAGTAGACAATAAAAACCCAAGATGCATATGTGCATAAATGAGGCCCAGATATTACTGCAGTTCATGCATATACAAACTAGAATTACCCCTCATGGTTGTCTGCCTCTACCACTCAGGAAGAACTAAGCCCAAATGTCTCGTGCTCCACCAGGTGAACCATCGGGGCCCGAGGCACAATATCTCTCACACAGAGCACAGCCTCCGTCTGGATAGTTTAGTCTTTATTTACTTCAACTCCAGAACGTAACAGACTTTTGTAAGAGGCAGGTCTTTATGTCTAACTCCCTCTGTTTGATATGTAGAGTTGGTCATAGTCGTCAGTACGAAGCCTCGTTACCGATGACTTCTCTCTCCCCCTCCCTCTCTCCTGCTCTCTCTGCTCAGTGAGTCTTATGTTTAGTTATTCTTCTGCCTCCTTTAATAATAATGATACATGGAATAAAAGTAGTTTATTTGCTGTAATAGAAGCGAGGCTCAGTGTATTGGAAGTGTTCTTCCTCTTCCCTGCAGTTCCCGAGCAGCCGGGAAACCAGAGCGGCTCAGTAGACTGAGGCTCGGCACTCTGCTGACCAGTGGTGGAAATATCATCAGTCAATATCAATTGCGGTCATGCCAAAAACTTCACTTGGATTCACTTCACATCAGTGAGTGCAGGGAAACAACTGTGATTCTATTGAAATACTGTTTTAAATCCTGGTGTGACTCCTCCAATCAGCAGAGCTAGAATCACCTCCTGACGGTTGTATCCCTCCACCAACCAGTCAAGTTGCAGGAAATATGTAAATATTTCCCCCTACAGACACTATTTTGCAGGGACACCGTTGCTCCATTCTGGGCTCAGCTCTATGCAAATGAAAATAAACCAGAGCATTTTCCCCATTTTTGCTTTGACCTTTGTCAGAAAGGTGTGACAAGTGAACATTTGTACCAAATTTTGAAGAAATTATCTAATATATATATTAGATAATTAGATAATTTCTTGAAACAATATAATATTATAAATATCACGTTCACGAGTATGGAGCGTGAACAACCTGAAAACATGATGCCTCTGGCCACGTCTGTTAAAGGAAATCAGCAGACACCAACTGCTGCACACTTCCAGTAAAAATATATATGGAGACGTTCATATTGTGAAAATGGAGTGAAACTGAAACATCCAGCTGATGACGGCAGCGCAAACTGCAGATTTATCTCTAAACATCAGTCGTCAGTCAGCCACAGCGTGCACTGCCTGTTATCACAAGTCAATACTAACTCAGGCATTTGTGAGCTTGTCTGAACGGTGGCAGGAGGGTGACGTCGGGGAGGGGGGGGTGAGGGGTTCAGTGTCTGTAACTTTCCAAGATGACAGAAGACAAATGTATGATTGTCTGTTATTGGGTCAGAGATTTGATGCAGGGCCAAACAGAGAGTAAGAGAAGAGGCTCATTGTGTGAGAGAAAACAGCAGACTTGATCAAACTCCCTCCTGGCTGAGGAGGGAAAACAGAAACTCAGAGTATCAGTGAGTCTCTGCAGGAGTTCTGTGGGTCTGAAGCTCAGGTGTATGGGAACTACAGCAGTACTTTCATTTGTTTCACAATTTCACAGTGGCCTATCAGTGTCTGACATAAAGCTTGACAAGTTGCAGGTAGATTCCACATAGACAGGGTTCGAATTATGGGTATGGGCTAACTCTAACTAAGCTTCTTTAATACACTTAACTGTCCTACCCTCTGAGTTTCTGAATTAGTCATCATAAATGTCATATATGGTCTAATGTTAGCAAACACCGGTGCTCAGTCATTAGCAGTGAGACAATGGATGATTAGTTGTTATAGAGATACGTTTTCAGATCAATATAGAGTTTATTGTTTCATGTTAATTGTCTTTTGTGTGTCTGTGGTGGTTTAGATAGTGTTTCACCTTTTTGGCTGGACTACAACAGCACAGCCAGCCATATAATGGCAAATATGACTGACTGAGTGACTGAGTGATCATATTTCCACCATTGGTCAGCCAAATGTGGTGAGAGAGGAAATATTGTACTTTCTACACAACTACATTTATTTGAAAGCTTTAGTTAAACAAGTAAGATACTGTAAGGGTTGTAACATGTGTAAAACTCATTTCACCGAACCCCCCCCCCCCCCCCGATTGTCAGTGCACAATTTGCACTCTGCACATAGGAGATCAATGTAGTTGACTGATCTAGTTAACTTTCCAGCAGAGGTGAAATTCATTTAAAAGACTCAATTAGCTGCTCAATTCAGTCATTTTTCGCTATTTTCGGAAATTTTATATAGAAAACAATTAATGTACTAAACCAGAAAATTAGATTAATAGATAAAAAATAATGATTCTGTTTTCAACTAATCCTGTAAAGCTGCCCAGGAAGCAGGAACAAGAACAGTAAAACTTTTAATCCCAGGTGTGGGACTCCTGTTTAGAACAGGACTTGGGTTTAGAACAGGGGTCTCCCAAGTACGAGAGTGACGCGCTGTGTTGAGGAACAGGTGTATTGTGTGATCCCTTTGGGCCTCCATACATCACTAGTTTCTAGTCCCATTCACTGACGGGGCTCTCATTGTTTACACACAGCAGCAGCTAGCTGTGCGGTGTGGACCTGTGACATCACCACTCTTCTCTCAGATGAACTCTTTACAGTGTATGAAACTTTAATGCAGCTCCACACAACCACATGTATAATTTAGAGAGGGTGCAACTGTAGTTACGTGACCTCCATCACGTCTCAGCTGCAGTGTCAAACCCGTACACTGAGGAGGGGGTTGGGGGTTTCATGATGGAGCTACCCTGTGCTGGGGCAGGAGTGGGGTGGGATGGAGAGGCCAATAAAAGAAATTGTCTTGTTGCACCCGGGCAGTGAATGGAGGCTCAGGAAGCAGCAGCTCTGTAATAACTGGAGTGTGGAGACCACGGTTACTGTTCCTCCTCTCTGTGTGTTTCATGAAGGCGTCAACAAACCTTTTCTAGGTGTAGGTTCATCCATCGGGTGAAGGTCCTCTTCTGAACCACCTCTCTTTCAACTGCAACACAGAGAGAGAAGAAGAAGAAACACTGTGGTCAACAGGAAGCTGAGCACTGATCAGTCGAATAAACCACCTCTTCACAAAGACAGACACACACACACACACACACACACACACACACACACACACACACACTCTTTCATACTCCTATCTGAGATTAAACATTGTGACAGAATAAACCAGTCTCAAACATCAACGATTAGATTTGGAGGATAATTAAAGAAAAAAAAAAGAAATCTCACAACACCGTTTAGGTATTTTTAGGAAAGTACACCCTGTACACCCTCACAGGTGTTTCCACTTACTCCTCTTACACTACAGCGTGCACAGTGCGCCTCAATCCACTTGGCAAAATGAACTCATGGTGTGGCCAAAAGCAGGGGGGGCTGGCTGGGAGCAGTACAGCACAGTGAAGCATCCCTCCCTTCTTTTCTACTCAAGTTATTTCTGTTTTAAAACAAGACTGTAGACAAAGGTCAAGTGTCAGTGTCCATCAGGACGAACTCGTGAAGTGAAAAAAGAGCAAATATTTGTCCTGCACTGTTCAAACTATGTGAAGCAAATTTCCACCTGACTGAGATGTCAGTGGATGCCCACACACTGAGAGGAGCTCTGATCCAAAAACACCTTGGTAACTGACAAATGACTCCACGGTAATTCTAATAGTATGACAGCATTTTGGAAAAGTGCTCTTATCAATATCTTGACACTGATTTTATCGCCCTTCCTAACAGCGTATAGAACAGATTTAGGGCCCGAACAGCAAGGGTGCGTTTGGTTAGTGTGGATTTTCCTGGTGCATAAAAATGAATTGGCTTTTTCAGGGCCTAAACATGCTCCAAAATTTTGCCCACGTTTCAAGGCCTGGTGTAAATGTACATGTTTTATGGGTCTCACCCATGGGTGTGGCAAAATGGCTCGCTTTATTGTGAAAACTTTTCGTTGGACGGCCGGCCCGTGGCAATTTTTGCGATTCTGCCATGAAAAAGGAAGTTGTTATAAACTCAAACACATGTTGTCCAAAGTGCCCCAAACTTTATTTGTTTGACCGAAGTGCCGGCCTGAACACATCTACATGCCAATATTCAGTTATACTCATAGCGCCACTGAGTGGCAACAGGAAATATCATGTTTTACAATTTGATTTACTCATGGCAGGATCATCCTCAAACTCCGTCAGATAATACTTCAGACCTTGATGATTGCGTCATTGAGAAAATTGTGAGTTTGGAACATTAATAGTCTTTTTACATAGAGCATGTCATGAATATAAAGTGCAAAAATTCACATTTTAAAAAAAGTATTTGGGTGAATTGGATGTTGATGATGATGATGATGGTGTGAATTTAAGACAAAAGGTTTGCATCAAAAAAGGAAAGAATGGCACAGGGACAGTTTGAGCATGTCCAACATGGACAGAGGAGGGACCAGTCCAGACCCACTGTCAGAGGCCTGTCTGGTCTCGGTCTAGAACGAGGCTGTTAAACCAGTTTTGAATCATACCAACAGGTATAATAATGACAGGTCAAAAATAAAGGAGGGGGGCTGCAGCATGTTCACTGTTGACTGAAGTATGCTCAGTCCGGACTGACTCTGCTGCACCACAGTGCACACAGCAGACATACAGGGGGGGGATGGCAACTACAGAGAGGGTGGGAGGAGCACTGGAGGGGTTACCATGGTAGCAATGTCAGCTGTTATTCATCTTTATGTCCAGTATGGCTCACTGGAGGCAGTGGGGGCTAACTCTGTCTGCTGTAATGATATTGATCGTTTCCTCCTCCAGTGGAATCACGACCGTGTTACTGAGGCCTGATGGGAAAGACAGTAAAAAAAAAAAACACAGGTAGAGGAGGAAATATTGCTCTCTGTGGGGGGGGTGGGGGGTGAGGGGGGCTTCCAGGTTGGAGTCCTGAGCCACTCATTTGTCACTGTGCCCCGTCGGTCTGTCCTGAGTCACAGGGAAATGCCTCAAACACAGAGAATTTGCTCCTCTGTTCTCAGAGAATGCTGGAGTTGGGTTGGTATTCAGGAGGCGTAGCTGAGGCTTTAATGCATGAATCTTTGTCACAGCAGACACAGGGAGGTGGCAGAGAAGGGAGGGAGGAGAGAAAACAGAAAGGGGATGACAAGAAGAGGAGATGATGGAGGAGAAGTGAGAGACGAAGCCTGAGGGAAAAGGAGGAAGAAATGAAAAGGCTGCTCAAAGAACAATGATGAAACAACATAAAAGGGAAAATCCTGTTGGCTTTAGTTCCATTAATACAAGCTTGAACAGGCCAGAGCACAAAACAGACTAATGATTTCTCTTTTCTTTTAATGCTATATCAGAGAACGTCACCTCTCTGGGACTCAACCAGAAATGTAATGACTACAAGCAGCTGCCAGATTAATGTAGTGCAGTAAAATGTACAATATCAGCCTGAAATCTGGTGGAGTAGAAGTACTAAGTAGCTACTCAAGTACTGTAGAAGTATCTCAAAATCATAATTACTTTATGTTTAGATGCGTACCATTAGAGACTATACTGTTTCTCCTACGAATAACAATCAAATTGAATTTAATATATTTAATGAGCACAGGCTATTCACTGACCGCAGTGCTGGTCCAGGGTTAGAGTCCTGAGAACCAGTAGAAGCCGGTCTCTGCAGGGCTCAGTTCAGGTCCTGCAGTGTATGCTGTGTTTTGCTGGGATGCGTCCTGCTTTGTCTTGGTGACCTCTCTAACTACATCAGTCTCCGGGTGATATTTGAAGCTAACCTACGTTTCAATAATCAAGTCAAACATGTGGTTCAGTCCTGTTTTTACCAGCTCAGGATCATTTCTATCAACCACTGACCTACAAAAAGACGTACATGCATTTATGTACTCTCGGCGTGATTATTGTGAAGCACTTTATTCAGGTATCAGGTATCAGCCAGGCCTCCATCCACCGTCTGCAGCTCATAACAAACAGGTACAATCATATTACTCCAGTGCTGGCCTCCCTACACTGGCTCCCTGTTGAGATTTCAGAGTGGAATTGAAACTTTTATTGCTGACTTTGAAGCCTTGAAAATGGCTTTTCCCCAAATTACATCTCTGATTTGTTGACATGTGTCCGACCAAGAATTGAGGTCTGTAGAATGAAGCGTGCTGGTCACCCCAAGGTCAGGGTTTGAGACTAACGGTGACCAGCCGTTCGCTATTAGAGCCCCGACACTCTGGGACTCTCTCCAGACTGAAATCAGACGCTGTAACTCTTTAACTTCTTTTAAATCTCTTCTTAAAACACATTTGTTTCTCTTAGCCTTTGGTAATGTCTGATACGTGTTTTATTCATATTGTTTTATCCCAAATGATTGTTTTTACATATCTTATTGCCTCTCTTCACTTACTGTCAGATCACTTAGCGAAAATGTTGATATATGATGTTTGTATTTATGCTGCTGTACTCTTTTACTATGCTCAGGCTCTCTGACCTTTTATCTGGTTTTATTTTTCTATGAAGCACTTTGTAACTTTGTTAAAGTGCTATATAAATTATTATTATTGTTTGCGTAAAGGAAAAACCCAACAGCACAGTGTGAAAGAAGCTGCGGGAGGACTAACAGCATCCGCTCTGTGAGACCGGAGCAGGCAGCCAACCCGGTGACTACGTAAAAAGACTGCTCTCTCTCTCAGCCACTTGCATGAAATAAATCACCACAGTTTATAATGTAGTCCATTCATGAAGACACGCTGAGGTACGTGAGCTCGTACGGACACTGTGACCTCATCCGTCATAAAAGCGTCAAACACACTGAAGCTGCTGTTTGCCATAGACGCCGTGCGCTCAGCAGTCGTCCTCCACCAGAGCTGCGAGCTCCGCTGTGGATAACACACCTGGAAACATTACATCAGCTGATGGCATTACTCTTACTGCACATAATGGGCTTCTTTTAAAGTTATGGCTGGCTTTATTACACAAGTCTGACTGTGTGTTTCCCCTCTGTGACTAATTAAGTAACTGCTTATAAAGTGGCCATTAATCATCATGTGTATTTGTAATGAGTCTGTGATCATCACTGCAGTCAAACAGGAAGCATTCATGCTAGAGTCCTAATGAGACCTCTGTGTGACCTCTGTGTGTACAACCTCATTAGTTCGGTGCTTTGTGTACAGGGTGTTCGGAAAGTATTCAGACTCTTCACTTTCTGCTCACTTCAAATTTAATGGCAAATGGATAAAACTAGAACTGAACGATTAATCTGAAATATTACTGACATCTCAGTGTAGCCAAGTGCAACATCCAAACTGCAGGAGCTGCAAATTCTTTTGATGAAGGTAAAATAAATGAAGCATTGTGGTGCTACAGAGACGCCCCCGGCCTATAAATCATATCCTCCAGGTATAAAGACACGCGTTTGTTTGGTACAAGACCCGACAAAAATCACATCATCATTTTTAGATTTTTTTCCAGTGAAAGTGAGATGAAAAAATTACCATTCCCACTATAATCATGACTCATGTCAAAATAACCGCATGATTTTTTTTTGTTCAGCCCTAAATCCTTTTTGCATCAATCTACTCTCAATAATCCATAATGACAGGGTATAAATATACATATATATATATATATATATATATATATATATATATATACGTATATATTACAAATTTATAAAAAATCAAAAACTGAAATCTCTTATTTACAAAGTATTTAGAACCTTAGAGAGGAGGCTCTGAGCCTCTCCTCTGATTGGCTGACTGTTTTCAGAGTGATCAAATAAAATTATAGCAGATTTCAGGTAAACACTCAGAGAAACCAAATCCTGCAAGGTTGGATGGTGGGTCAAGGTGGGCGGGGCTTGGGTGGTGGCTGAGAGCAGCTGCTTTGTTGTGACATCACAAAGTTCCAGAAGTCCTGACGGCTGGTTTTAAGGCTCAGTTTCTGAATACAGGCTGTGTGCATTTCTCTATGAACTGAGGCTTTGTATTTTTAATGCCAAATTTATTTTTGATGTTAACATTTTACT